GCTTACATTTATTTAATATTCTACAAGCATTTTTAGAAACAAATGGACTACCATTGAAAAATATGGCGGGTCACTACAATGTTGTACAAGCATTACTAAAATAAAAGAACAAATACGCGGATTATGTGCCATGTGCTGCGCATTTTCTTAACTTAGTTGGTGAAGAATCTGTTAAGGTAGCAATCGAAATTGTAAACTTTTTTGGAGTAGTGCAAAGATATACGTTTTATTCTCTTCTTCGACTCATAGGTGGGAACTGTTAAATCGCAAAACAAAAATCAAATTTACTTTAAAAAGTTTAAGTCAGACCAGATGGTCTTGTAACTACGATGCTGTCAAAGCTTTAAAAAATTATTATGATGTAATTATGAAAAGTTTCAGCGAAAATGAGAATGAGAAAGTCGATTTCCGAAAAGAAGCACAAAATTTATTCAATAAAATGGCGAAACTTAATACTGCAATTATGATTATTTTTTGGGAAGAAATTTTGGAGAGATTTCATTCAGTTAATAAAAAAATACAAAGCCCTTGTTCAGATATTTGTGAAGGTAACAAGTTAATAGTGTCATTAAAAGACTTCGTAAACAATAATCAGATCAGAAGCTAAAAGAATATGAAGAGAAAGCTAAAGCTAAAATTAAGTACTAGTGTGGAAAAAGACTACAATGACAAAAACAAGAGACGCATAACTCCAAAATTTTCAGATAAGTCTTCAGATAAATTCGCAGTTTACGGCGCAGAAAAATTTAAAAGAGACACACTAAATGTTGCGTTGGATAAGTTGATTATGGATTTAAATAAAAGAAGTCTAGTCTATGAGACATATAGCAAGAAATTTAAATTTTTAATAGATTTGCAAGATAAAAATATGGAAAACGTAGATCAGGAAAGTTTACGTAATATTATTGATTATTATCCAGATGACGTAGACGAGCATTTAGTAAATGTGTGCGTTCAGTTAAACTCTTACTTACTTTAGTGTAAACCAGAGTCTTACACTTTTTGCGATGAAATTTTTATGATAATTTATGAAAAGAAACTTTGTGATGTTTTCCCAAATTGCTATATCATATTAAAGATTTTTTTATCTTTGCCAATCACTAGCTGTGAAGCGGAGCGTTCTTTCTCTTGGAGGATGACTTATATAGAAAATAAATATAGGACAACATTGTCAAACCATCGACTTACTCATCTATCAGTTCTTTCCATAAATAGTGACTTAACGAAGGACTTATAATGTGATGAGCAAATTGAGGAATTTGCAGTACAAAAATGCAGAAGGTTGCTTTATAATCTATTATATTAACCTGTCAATTTCTTTTCCAATAATTTTGTAAAGTTATAATATATAATTTTAATTATTTTATTGTTCTATTTTCTCTTTATAGTTATCTACATCATTAGAGAAAATAGATTTTAACAGTTTTCCTGATTTTTAGTGGTATCGATTTTTTTGTTGAACATACAAATTCCTCCATGCGGATTTTGAATGCATGAAAAATATGCCATTTTTTGTATTGTCAATGGTATAAACATGTCTTCTAAATAATTTGGTGAAAGGCATATTTTGTTTTATTATTTCGATAAAATTTATATAGAACCACATCTGACTCTTAAGCTGTCTAATAAAAAAAAAATCATTAAAATTGGTTCTTAAAAAACGAAGTTAACCGCGAACCAACATAAAAAAGTATGTATACGGTCGAATTGAGAAACCTCTTACTTTTTAAAGTCGGTTAAAAATGGCTATTAGTTAGTACATATTTAGGTAGGCCCACAAATAGTTTTAGCCCAGGGCCCCACAAATTCACGATCCGCCCCTGGATGTACGGCGGACTAAAAGCGGGGCAAGACTGGCTACATCGGTTTTCGTACAAAGGATGCATGATCGCCTTTCTAACCTCTTTTCCGTGTTCTGTGGTCGCAAACAAACTATAACAAAATAGCCTCACTTCAAGTGCGGTCTGCACTTTGAAGTGAGGCGTCATGTCTACGGCCATTTTTGAGACTGATCGGGCATGTAGTTGTATTGATGATCGAAGATGGAATCGAATCAAATCAAAGCCGAGCCCGAGATAATAAATTTTTGATCACCCATCCTATGATCGGCCTTAGCAAAATTTGCTTAACTTTGCTTGCTTGCTCAAATTTATTTGCTCCTTTTCTTTAAATACTACCGATAAATATCGCACTCTTAAAATTTGCATACAAAAAAAAAAATAAGCGGTTCTAGTGCAGTGACACGACATAATTTTTACAAAATATGCAATTCAAACTCAGTGATGGCAAAGCGATAAATCCTCGATTGTACGACGAGAGAAAATATTTTTAATAGTTCCATTGCAATATTATGCTTGCTGGAGAGCAATTCTAATACTCAAATTAATGAGAAATATATATTTCAAAATATTTTCAATGAATTAGTATACCATTTAGATTTTATACTATTGGTATGTAATTCCTTATTGATTTTCTACCGATGGCAGAAAAATGCGGTATATGAGAATCGGAACGTTCAAAACAAATAAAATACAATTCACAAAATAATACAGTTCAATATTATAGATCTTAAACAATTATTCGCTAGCATTTAATGTTAGAAGCCGAGAGAATTACAGTTACAAAAAGTAATTATATCTGCTGCGTTTTAACAGGCAATGACTAGGCTGTTTCTGATGAAATTGGAGAAATAGTATTTTTCACATAGCATGGATACGGTGACGTTTGGGATTTGAAGTTTTAAGAGCTTTAAGGCAATAAAAAGAATCTATATACAAAAATTCAATGTTATATTTTAAGTATTTCTAATAGAGATAATAATAAATAGAGATTTTCAGGTCTGTGTAATAAAACAGGATTTAATAAAAATAGTTATTCGTCAACGAGAGGAACCAGAGTCAACTAAATTACTTGATTCTTCAACTAAATTAAATCACTTGAGTCTCTTATACTGTCTATTTTTTAATAACGCTACCCCAGTTATATAAAATCAGGCTTTTCAACTTACGTTTTAAATTTTGATATTTGAAAGTGAGTTAGATTTCAGAAATTATTTATATTAAAAACTTGTTTTTACTGAAATCTATTTTAGTTTTTTTTTTGCTTGAAATGGATTTGTTAAAAAACGTCACCGAACCCGTGCTATGTGAAACGGTCTATAGTTATGGTTTAGAGGAAGAACCAATTGTTTTTTCTTTTTTCAAAATATTATTAATAGGTTCTAAAATCCACCCGGTCCTGGACCAATTCGCGAATAAACTCATAGTAAAAAGAATGTGACATAGAGGACATCTTAAATACTAAGTTAGTACTTATAAATGTATAACCTGAAGTCAGGTTCGTCACTCCTACTGGACCTCGTAGACCTCACGTCCACATCTACTTCTGGGAAATACATCGGCGATCGGCTGTTTGATTCGGAAGCGCTACGACGAGTGCTGAAACCGCTGGAACACGTTCAAATTGATTGAGATTTTATTTGACTAATTACTGGATCCCAAGCCGGTGACATGGCAACCTTCACCTCTATCAAAATGTTTTTTAATTTCAAAATCATCGCGTAAAATATATCTCATTTCAAAATTACTTTTGTTTATGATTTAAAAAATGTCTATTGCGTTTGTATTATTACAAAGAAAATGTTTTTTATTTTATTTTCCATTACCTTAATATTTACATATAAATATACCCCCTAACCCGGAAAAGTACTGGAAATCGAACTAAGTCAACTTGTCACTTAATACTACTATAAGTAGTTTACTATAACTAGTATTAAGTGACTATAACCCAATGTTAACGAACTGATAATACGCACAGATATGAGGGTTTGTTGTGTTATCAAAAATATCACGTCTTATTTTTGTTACTATAGCCAATCACAATACTTATTTTCGGTTTACTGTCAAAATTTCACTAGTTTATTTAGATATTTTGATGTATTCGATTTTTTTAATATATTTTTTTGGTAGAGACTTAGACAGGAGATATCAAAAATATATAATTTAATTAACGGCAAAAGATCATATTGACCAGTGTTATTCATAAATAATTTATCTCTTGCCTTTTGTGCTATCTATATTTTCTATTTTCATATGACGTCATGCTGGTTTTATTTAGACAAGGTTCCAGCGCATTAGCAACTTATGGGACCTATAATAAGTCACCTACCTTTTTCCACCTCGTCGTATGAGCCTCGGTTCACCCACAACATCGTCCGCTTCGTCAATAGCGCGTTCCTCGCGCGGTTCACATTCACTCAAGTCTGATAGACTGTAGCTTTTACGAAGCTGTTGGACTAGACCACCACCTCCCTGAAGAATTATAATAAATTACTAACATTATAAACTATTTTTAAAATAAAAAGGAGCCTTCCACCGACTTGGATAACAATTTTTTTGAGCCTTATTAATTCCCTTAGAGTTAGAGTATTCAAAAAAAAAATCTTAGCCTTTATTATTCTGCCAGCAGTTAGATCCGTCCAATAACTCAAACTGTGTTTTGATAGATCGGTCAATGACACTTTTCCCTTTAAAAGGTACGGAAAATCAGTACTGTAATAGTTCTATGCATTTTCAAGTTATGTTGAAATATTTTAAACTTTTAAATTATTAATTAAATTAGCTTTCCGCCAGCGGCTTCGCTCGCGTGGTCATGTATTATACATATAAAACTTCCTCTCCACTATGTATATTGATGAAAACGCCAATTAAATCCATTATGTAGTTTAAAAGATCAGTACAGACAGAGGAAAGTGACTTTTAATGTATAGATGTATAATGAAAAATAATTAAATTTATGTCTGATTAATGAATTTAAAAAATCTTACTACTATCTGGTGCAATGTAAAAATATTAATAAATATATGACTATACTTACATTTTGTTAAATCACTCGTGCCTATAAAAGCTTTGTGTAAACGGCCCATGCAATACAATTTATTTAAGTACCGAACAGATACTGGATCATGATATTGAAGCTAAATAATAACAATACGCCTTCTATATAAAAACTTTTTTAATTCAAAAATAATCAAGATATAAAACTAAGTCAGTCACACATTACTAAACCTATCGTCTTCGTAATACAAAATAGTTTGGTTACATGCGACACATTTAAAAACTAATGTACTGTTAACATCATGCAATATAAAAATATACAAGAATCTTTAGTGAGATTGTGCATGTATAGGAACAAAAATATAATAAAATTTCATTTGTAATAAACGTTATTTAGTCTCCAGGACGAAAATGAAATAATATTTTAAAGTTATACAGGTAACAAAACTTTAAAAAAACCTAAAAAAGAAAGAAATTATTTGACTTTCCTTCTTTCCAAAAAACAAAAACTATTATTATGACGAGCAAAGACCACTCAAATTTTGAAAAGAAAACTTTTGAAATGTGATGAAATTAACCTATGCATTGTCTAAAAGCTATTTAGAAATCACAGTTAGCGTTGGATTTCGTTCCAACTGTATTTGCTTTGGTCAATCTACTGACAGTTCGTTGATATCCCTTTCGGCGGCCGCCTGGCTTCGTGTTCTACGTCCCCTAGATTTACTTCGCGGTCTCTTCTCTTTAGCAACTTTACGTTTGCGCACTACATTGCCTCTACTGCGTGCGGAACTAGGTTCATAATCGGGATCATTAGCGTCACCGTCCCCTTGAATTTCTTGAATGGGATCTTCTAGCTCCACTATTTCAACGATGCCAGGCAAAGCATTATCTGTACGTTGATATTCTAAATCCTCGTAAGTGTGTTGGTAACCGTCAGTGAAGTCGGAACTGACGATCGCTTTTCTACTCCGTTCTTGCTCGGGACTCGGCAAATTGAAGTTCTGCGTGAAGCAGCGACGAAAAGGATGTTTAGGAACGAAGGGTAGGTGAGGGGGGTGGACAAAATTAAAAAAGCGTGTTAATAAAATTAAAAAATTAAATCAAATTAAGCGAATGCGTTTTAAAACATCGACGTTGTGTGTAATGGTAAAAGAAAGAAAACTGTGACCATGCTTGATGACAAATAATGGACTTGATGACAAATATTTAAGTTTGCGTAAAATATAATTTTAAAACATTGAAGGTCGTGCACAAAGCACTAGACGCGTGTATCAAGCGAATGTTTGACTTGTGTTATTTACATAACTGTTTGCGATCAAGCATGCCACGCCATTGTTTAGAATGTTTAAATCATAACTATGAAAATAAAAACAACAACACCTATAGTTAACTAATGACAATATTTGAACTCTTGTATGTTTGTTTTGTTAAAGGTTAAAGTCCACCTGTACCCTTTTCAGCTTATTTAGACCATAAAAAGCCTTCAATTATAAAGATAGTTTTAGACTTTTTCGGGTCCAACTTAACGGTTACAAAAGCGTGCTTTGATAAATGAAATATGTAAAATACCTTTATCGCAGTCTGCATAATAACTGTTGTAGCGTAGTTGACGCCCTTAGTGCCCAAGTTGAGCACTGTGTGGTAACCCTGATCTTTGGCTTTTGCTATATATTCATCTATTTCCTGGAAACAGAAATCAATTTATTAAAGATAAGGTCGCCATTTACACTGTATCTGTCATTTTTTTAGTTTCGATATAGACTGCGTCGTGTTAATGTTTATAAAGTACTAGCTGTTTTCCAGAGACTTCGCTCACCTGAATTATTTTAAAAGCGGTCTAGTACTTTCGGAGTCTATTCAATGCAAACAATCAAACCTTTTCACTTTATATTATTAATATAGAAAACAATAAATATAAGAAATGTCAGATAATTGTTTTATCTTTTATTAAAAAAAAATATTTAAAAAAATACAACAATTAGATATCATGCAGTTTAAATCTACTATTAAAAAAATACTTATAAAAAGCTTATTATAAGGTATCCGATTATATAACAGATAAGAATGCTTGGACTTGAGATGATCCAGCAGCTGGATAGGTGATTACTTCTAAACTCACTATATATCAAAAATTATCTTGTTTCCATTATTATTAAATGATTATGTTATTATTATAAGACCATAGTTTTTTTTGCTCTCTCTATTTATAATGTATTGATCTGGTAATGACATGGTTTTTGTAAATGTCATTACTCCTATTAGAGCTGGCGAGTTTCTTGCCTGTTCTTATCAGCCAAAAGTCATCCTGAACGAGTGGTAGGGAAAAAAATGTTGGACGATTCAATAGTACTTTTAAGAAGTTTATTTGAATAAAGATTATTTTGACTTTTAACTAATATTTGAACAACTACGAAACGTTACTATATCCATCCAGATATAGAAATTGACATTAACACCTTCTCAATTAAAAAAATAGTAACACTTGTATCATACATTAATTGTTTAGCGAAAATTGCGACACGTTATATATATTTTAAAATTATAATTTAAAATATATATAATTTTAGTTTTATGTAAGGTTCAATTACAACGTATATTTTTTCAGTTTCAAATACTTAATTTTATTATCGTGATAACACATTTAATTTAAAAGGACACTATTGTATATATGCATTTTCCAGTTCAATTTAACTCTAATAAGCGGTTGATTGGAGTACTGATTTACCTGTTCCCTCCTGCATAGCGCTGGGTGAACAAATTTTCTGTACAATATGGAAGAGCCCTTCGTGGCGGGGGACAGTAGCCACAGCACCAACACAATCTTCACCTCGTAATAGAACGGGAACCACGACAGGAATACATCGGTGAACGTCTCTGTACAAGTGAATAGGGCGAATACTATCCAGTACATCATCCATTTTACCTGAAACATACACAATTTTGTGTTTTTGACTGGGTAAAAAAAAGGGAATTCTAATTAGTCCGTTAGTCAGATAATAGAAAAATATTAAATACGTAATATTTTTTTTACTTCAATTTAACAACAATAATGGCTAAAATTACAGGCATTTAAGTTGAGGAAACAATTTTAACCTACATGGCCCGTTACATCAGTTTTGTAGAAAATGTACAAAAGCGTGAAGTCGATATTTTAATTACGCAAAAAAAAAACATGTTTAATATTTTTCAACAATCTACCTGACGGACAAACAAAACAAATAAGTCGTCATTCCTATTCTAGAGGGGTTGTTTGGGGATGACGTCTCATCCAAAACTAGTAAACTATCCTTACTGAAACTTTTAAATATGAGTAGAAAAACATGTGCCAATTTTAAAAGAATAGTAACTATGAGTACCATACTTTAATTTGATTTACCAATTCCATAATACGACCTTTGGCGCAATCTAAGCCAAGGATAGATATTTTCTTTCATAATGAAATATGGCAGAGAGTACTTTAATACGAGTATATCTAGATTACAAACTCAGTGTCTGGTGTTTTAAGATTCTTCGTTATACATATGACGGATTTTCTGTACCTTATACTGTGATAATTTATTGCTAGGGTTACAAGTTTTGAGGTGGAAAAAACACACGAATGTTCCTTTTATGAGTTCACGCTAAATGGTGTAGTGATAATTGAATTAAGAGTTGTATAAACAATATTATAATACTCAACTCCAAATAATTACATGCCTATACTAATATTATAAAGAGGTAAAGTTTGTAGCTTACTATCTACCATCTTTAAAATACTGATGATTAACCTACAGAAAACTACATCATAAGCGTATCATATACATATGTATGTTATAAATGCTCGGGCAAAGTCACGGGAAACAGCTAGTATAATTTGCCGAGACCTTTAATAAAAAGTGAATAAATCATTAAGTATTGAGAGTTATTAATTAGTCACAGTTTCAATTATAATAATTATAAAACCTATTTATTTTGAACATGACAAATTAATGTAATTTGAATAAGAACTCCAAACAATTATGAGATTAATAGTTTAATTTTGATAAAACATGACTAAAACGACAATGACCTCAATCATAAAAAATATAAGAGATCAGTTGTAAAGCTAGAAGCATGTAGAATGTATCACGCTAAAAGTAATTAAGCTTAGGAACGCAATAACAAGGTAAAGGACAAAAGAACTGAAGCGTTTCGAACAAAACGAGCGAGCACGCGTAACAAAACCGAAGGTCTGCTGGATGATGATTCATTTTTAAAAGCACATCTCGTCGATATAGAAAGCTTTTGTGACTAACATTTCAACTAAATAATGTTACACGTTACGTGTTCTGTAGAAATAGTGTAAAAAAACTTCAATATAAAAGTGTAAAAGAACTTACGTATTCTTTCAAATTCTTCGTCCGTACAGCTTTGTATGAAGCGTAAGCCGGGTAGAGGGTTCCGAATACCAATCTGCAAAATGGATATACAACCAAATAAGAGATCATTCTTGGAGCTAAGGTTCCAATCACCACAGCAAGTATTCCAAAATTTCCAAATGTGACGCTAGGTATGCATCTACTAAGGGCCACTCCAAGATTCACAGCGATTTGTTTCCAAACTCGTCCCCTCGGCGATCCGAGAGGGAAGTCGTTGTAATCACTGTAACCTTCATCGATGTTTGGGTCGTACTTCACGAGATCGTGACCGTTTGCGAAAGTTTCAGAGGCCACGACACGAGCGCATTCAGCCTCTATTTGGTTCACAATGACTCGGACGCTGGACAGTCCGAGACTTAGCGTCAGAGCCCGTGGTCTGTCGTCACGGTAACGCGCGCGACCTGCCTCCATGGATACGAAGCGACCGCGACATTAAACAATTACGCTTAAACAAAATATTATAACAATGTCTGTCTGAATGCAACAATCGATATTGCAATAGATGCGTACACGCCTGCTGCGGTAGAGATACACTGTACCAATTGATGAGTTAAATCTATTTAGCCTGGCATATGTAATTCGATACTGATATTGATTCTGTTAACTTCGCAGTGTACAAAGCAAGATACCTAGAGACAATTACGTAGTTACTTGTTTAGTACCTATTTCGATTCGAAGTAGATGACCGTGTAAATTAGAAAACGTCAATCAAGCCAATACCTACTCAAATAACCATACCATTAATTGGTGTGACGCCGAAGGTTACTTTTTAAGAGACATTTTCTGTATTTATTTGGGAAGGTTTTTACTTTTACAATGAAATCTTTACAAGCATATTCTTCATTGTTTGTTGATTTGACATTTTGTTTGAACCGTATTCACGGTCCGGTAGTGTACCAGTGCAGGAGCGCGTGTCAATAACGAGCTATCGCTAAATGGCAAAGGCTAGAAAATATGAACAGTGCACCAAATTTTTAGTAAATGAAATGTTCGAATATCAAGTTAAAAGAATGTTGTTATAGCAGTATAAGGTTACGTATACTCTTATAGAGAACAAATGATAAATACGAGCAGACGGCAGCGTTTATGCCATTATCAATTCATATAGTCACTCGGTCGCCCCTGCAACAATTTGCTTAACTGCAAGACCACTGCCTGGACACATGGCAATATGGACGTGTTTATAAATAATTGGCAATTAAGTGCAAGTGCAGAGTGAACTAGACATAAATAACAACGTAAAAAATGAAAAATGCGTTATAGAAAATGATGATTTGTCTTAAACTTTTAGCTTAAGGCTTAATTTGAATTTAGAATATCTAGCAAAAAAATATATGACATAATGGTTATTTACGTAGTGTAAACTGATAAGGTAAAAAAACCTAAAACGCCATGTTTACTATTCACAAAAAAGCATGTAGGAAGGACAAATCTGTTCGTTTTGCAAATTAAATATACGATTAAGGATATTAGTAATTGATTTAAATTATCGATGTAGCTTCGTTTGGCTACAAATTATTTATTTAATAGGTAATGGGACCAACTTAAAGTGCAGATGTTAGCCATATTAAGAGAGTTTCACAACTCTGCGATCTAAAATAACTTATTTGGTCAAGATTGTTGAATGAAATCTTAAATATACCGATGCTTTTGCATGCGTTACTCGTAACCAGATTGAAATTAAAATATTAAATATTTTATTTATCCTTTCCATTACTTTAATGTGGTTCTTAAATGCCGTTTTTATCATCGATGACTACGATAACGACCATGTTAAGGATATCTTTTACTTGTACAAAACGTTTTCATTTTTCAGGAACAACAAAAGAATAAATTAATACGCAAAACACTAACATAATAAAATATACAATTACTTCTAGACAACTTGCTGACTTTAAATTTGGTCACATTCGTGGCAGAAAATCCTCGACACTTCAATCAATTTCCTGTTTTTCTTTCTCGCGTCCTTCTTTCTTTTAATTACTACAAACAAACAAGTATCAAAGAAGTTGAAGTTAATCACCAAGCCACAAATTGATTTCGTGCTCTCCAACAAATACAACTGCGAAACGAAGCGTAAAAGTCAGTCGAGTATGAATTTTTGGCTTATTGATTTCCTAACTCTCAATATATGATAGCTCAATATGAAATCGGCTACAACTTTCACTGCCAAAATGGGGGTAGAATAATTTATAATAAATTACTGCTAAAGTTGGTAAATAAATTTGAACAAAATTTATCGCTACAAAACGTTACAAAAGTTATTTTTAATGAAAAATGTTTAAAAAATACACTTGCCCCTACCCATGACCTTTCGCAATCTGGGCGACTGCTCTAACCACTGAGCTACCCAGGACGTAGCAGGACCGACGATTTTTTCAAACTCTTGTTACTTTTTCACTTCTACAGAGCGTATTTTCACTAATGTTCAGGCAATCCTCCCGAAACAAATATTTTTACAAATAATAAGGATTAAAGTATGAAATTCCGACTTGTACTAAAAATCAAAATTGTTTATTTTTAAACAAATTTATTTAATCAAAATAGTTACCATTATAATCTGTATATTGCTGACATCTAATAGGAAGGTGATGGTTAAAAAAAATGGTAGTCCGTTGGAGCAAGCTTTGGCGAATACGGAGGATAACGAATGGTTTCTAACTGCAGTTCCTGAAGGGTCAAAACGGTTTCTCGTGCTGTATGAGGTCTCGCGTTGTCATGGAGTAATAATGGTGAAGGTCGAAGTTTCCATCACGAAAGCGTTTAAACCAAAATCGCACGGTGCGTTCATTAGCAGACCCCTCTCCAAACGCAACATTGATAATGCGGGCTGTTTCTGCCGCGTTACTTCCGCGTCGGAACTCGTATTCAAAAATCACTCGAATTTTCGCAGTATCCATTATTTTTGTGTAAGTTGAAAAAAAAAAACAATTGAAAGTCGATATTCAAATGTTTCACATTTTTTTAAAAGTATATCATAGAAACCATGACAAAAAAGTTTCTTTCGAAAACCTCAAACCATGAAGATTCTATGTCAATTCAAGGAACCTATTACAATAAAACGGCAATTTCATACTTTAACCCCTTATATTTAAACTTCGATAAAGATGTTTTTTTTTCTAATTATTATATTTGATCAATTTTGCATTCACAATGCTATGCTCAAAAATACTCTAATGAAAAATGCTTAAAAATCCATTTTGCCTCTGGTAAACGTATATGTATGTCATTTCTAATCTAATTCGATGCTCAGATATGACTAATATAGTGCATGAACGTTTTAAATTAGAACGGGTTCATCGGCTACTGAGATTTATTTTAAAATATCTAAATAAAATAAACTATCATAGCTACATTCTATTGGAACAGACTAATTCGTTACACCGTTAGTCGTCTACATTATATTATATTATATATGTACATTATATATTATATTAGTATATGTAGTTATGAAAGTATATATGTATTGTTTATGTATTTTGTTATAGGTCTTATTTCCTTTGTTTATATCTCTTCTACAATGTGCACACTACCACCTTTTATCTCCACATCACCCATCTGATTGACTGGTAGAAAATGCCTAAGGCATTAAATCCGCCAATGTATTATGTACATGAAGTGTTAAATAAATAAATAAATAAACTAAATAAATTCCTTAGATAAAACTTAATAGTAATCACGCAGAAAGGGCTGCATTGTACATTAATTAATACGTATATCGCATATACTTTAATTAATATTCGGACCGTTACTTAAGCCCACTGCAATACGCATTGTAACTAGAATGCATCCGGTATTTATAATGAATCGTATAGTGTAAATCCTTTCTATTCGGCACACAGTACAGCTATCGGTGCACCAAATATGGCGCGTGCGTAACGAACAAAACGCTCATCCTTCAGGGTCGATGTAACACAGTCGTTGAGGCGTGAATCTTGGTTACCTACGTAAGTTGTTAAGTATGTCTACAGTATAGTTTAACAAAGCCATTTTTTTATATAATCTTAAGACATATAATATTCGAGTGTGCATGTATATCAACCAGCACAATTGTTTCGAAGAATGGCTTTGACAGACAGACGGACAAAAAGACGAGAGAGACACGCGAATGGTCATATTACAAGGATTCAGCTTTTCCTTTTTCGGACGGAATTCTAAAAAAATCTATGTAAAATTAAAAAATATATATATAAAATTATTCCTGAGCCTTGAAACTAAAACTGGATTGAGAATGATACCAGGAACATGATGCAATAATATTTAATAGAATGTAATTGATACCTGCTTCTGTGTGATGTATATCGTACAAGCTGGTACTTGATTAATCAATGCTCTTATTATGGTTGGAACGGTAGCCACACGCTGGGTCGTTCTTACAATGTTTTGATATCTCAAAAGGGCAACAGAACCCTGTTAGTCTGGATGTAACATCCAATTTGCTTTTAAATACTGAGTGAGTAGATACTTGATGTAAGACGTAGATCATGTAAGATGATGACATAAAGACGGCCCTTTTGTGGAGTACATTAGAAAATTTTTAATAATCTTTTGCAAAGTTGGCAAATATGTGTAGTGGGGCTGGACCCGGCAAACTCCTTGCTGGATCCCGGGTCCTTCCCCCCAGGAGATTTTCACTAGGTAGGCCGACCCCGATTCTTGGAGGAGTTGGACTTAGTATAAGGCTTAAGGTGCATTATCAAAAAAAGGTATTATGTGTAAAATATCAAATGACATTATGACAGAGCTTATTGTGACTACTATTGCTACTGTGGTCAAAACTACTGGTGTGAAAAAGAATACAGAAAATAGTTCTTTAGCTATAAATTATAGTTTCCTGTAAAAAGTCCATGGCTTTCCGTTCCTAATATTCGTATGTACGGTCGGAACCCACGTTGCGTGAGTTGAAATAGATCAATTCCCTCTTGGCTCTATTTTCAGTGTTCTGATTTGAGTATAACGTTTGAAACAGGAAGCGGAATTGATCTATCCATTATTATTTACATTAAAACTATTGAAGTATGCTAGTCTGTTAGTTTTTATGGATAATATTCTTTTAAAATAACTAGTGCTATTTGATGTGAATATTTGAAATTATGAGATAAGATTTGAGGACCGGGTAATAGGTATTTGGAAACTAAATTGAAATGTTTTCGACTAACTCGAACTCGAATCAACTTCTTTACAAACAATTGTACTAAATGCTATTTTAAATGGTTTGACTAATTATGCTTAGCTATTGGTAGCATACGCCCATAAAGGTTATTTTTGTGAACTAACCTACATTAGTTGGTACCATTCAACATAGGTACTGTAGCCATTACTGTTTATTTCAATAACATGCTATTATGGTGTATGAGTCACAGGAAACATGAACAAAACCTGGGTTTTATTTCTCACCGCTGTTGCATTGTTTATAAATGGAGTTTTAGAAAAATCTTTACAAATTTACAGTATAGATATACTTACAATAAATACCTAACTATTTTAGATATGGAAAACAAACAATACTTTAATGTTTACTAATGTATTTACATTAAATAAAATAGGTACATAGTAGGTATCTGTATTTATTAATATTAACACTAATTTAGTTATTAATCAATCTAAATATAAATCACGACAATATGATCTTCGTAATAAATCGTTATTCTTATTTCAAGTTTTGTACGCGATGACATTTTGGTGATAATACGAAACTGCACAAGGGTAATGTAAAGGTATACGTAATCCAAGCGAGGCTACACCAAAAATGGTAAAACAAGTGTTCTCAATATGAACATAATCGTGTTGGAGTCAAGGTGTACGACCTACAAGCAATACCAGATTGAGCGCACTCGGAACAGACGATAATTTCGAATATCTCAGGTCGAACGCGGTAATGATTCACTCTACAGTTAGGTGTCAACGCACTTCACTTTTGTTGCATAGATTGTGTGTAGGGAAGACGACGCGGGCGCAGACCGGGTGCGCCACAGACTAAAGCTCCTCCGTTGCAGCTTAGGGGCGAACGGCCGAGATCTCCAGAAATAGCACCCGGCAGTACAGGGATGCCCTAATGACGAATTTCGAAATGGCCCACACGAAGCTTTGTTCTAACACAATGTAGATTCAGTTTCAAAATAACTTTGTTGCTGACGGTGAGCTACTCTTAAAGAATAAGTCGCAAGTAAAAAATAATTAAAAATTGAACTTTCACTTAACTTTCCACAAAAATAAAAACAAAACTGATGTGTCTTGAAAGAAGTCTAGTGAACGTCTGAAGGTGAAAACAAACTTATAAAAATTCAGCACGCTGTAAAGATGCCAAATTTCAAGATGGCACATTGGGATGTGTGTAACAAATTGGAGATATGCCAACTTTTAGTTAGCTGATTGTTGTATGATTATAACAATGAAATGTATTATTAAATGTTATCTAGACCAAGACCATTCTGAAATAAAAAAATTTAATGGATTTTTAATTAATGAAAGCAAAATCAACTGTGTAAACTTTTGAACCACATAATCTGAGAATATATTACCTAATACTTTTATATTTTTTCCATATAATTTTGGTTAATATAATATTTATATTTAACTTTGATTGTAAATAATATAAATATTGTAATTAATTATAAATATACTTAGGAATAATGTCCATAGAGAGTTTATTGCATTAAATATTTAATTAATAACACTGTAAAGTGTTAAGTGTGTAGTAAATGTCAAACTCATTACATTTAAATATCTAGTAATTAGATATAATTGCAAATATAACTCTGTCTATCTGTTACTCTTTCATGCCTAAACCATTGAACAGATTTCAATGAAATTTGGAAAAGGACAATGTTGGAAAAGACTTAATCACAAAAGGGGAAGAATTTGGGGATGAAAGTTCAGTATTGAAGGTAACTATACCACACAGACGAAAGCCAGTATTGTCTATGAACCTCAAAATATCTTACCCTTTCCACCTACACTGCAAGGTATCCTGAGTGAAGTCATAGGCTAGTATGTGTTGGTCCAAGTAGATCTCTCGTTTAAACAAAGCTAATTTAGTCAAATTGAGCCTACAAATGATCTAATAAAATCAAATTTTTAACAAAACATTAAACCCTTTAAAATTGTTTTATAAATGTAGTTAGTAATGTTACATTTTCTTTTAAGTGAATAATTTAATTGTTACTACAGCCACTCTGTTTTCAAATATATTAAAAAATAAATAAAACAATAAGCATAAAGAATGGACTCTGACACCTACACTTAAATTTAAAATCACATGGAAATACAAATGTAATGAATAGATGTATTTTATTTGTAAAGGGGTCACATTTCAAACGGCTATAAAAAGCTACCATTCAATAATATATTTACATAGAATTGATTTATAGATAGAACTGTGAAAACCAACAGTTTACACAAATTACTATAAAATCACAAAAAAAAGTAAAACTTCTGCTAATGAAAATGAAGTTCATAAACCATTGGTAGGTATATCATGATGTAGTGAATCATGTTGGTGTATGATTATATTTCATCTGTTTAATAATATAATATCAATGTAAATTGTTTTACTGTTTGTGTACTCGTAAAAAAAATCTTATTAAGTTTTGAATGAGAAGAAAAGGAACAAGCATACAATCAGTTATGAAATGAACAACTAGGTATATTACAGATGATAACATGTTGTTGGATTCATACATCAAAGGAAATGTATGTAATGGAAATTATAAACACCACAAGCTTATATTAAATAATGTAAGGCTGATTTAACCTATATTTTACTACAACGCAAACATTTATGATACGACAGTTGGTCAAGTTGTTTTTTTCTCTATAGGCAAAATTAATGTTCGATTTATTGATATATTGGAAGTTACGTTGCAAAATCCTAAGTTACACAAGAATAAGACAAATTATTTAAGTTAATTAAAAAGGATTATTTAAATTTATCTAGGATATTCTATGAACAAAGGATCAACACAAAAAATAATTTTCTAGACGTCACACCTGTATTATTTAAAGAACTATAACATTAAATTCATAAATACTCACATCACCAACCGGGAAATTATCGCCGATATCATATTAAATAACACATACGAAAAACTGTCTCTAAATAATCACAAAACAAATAATATGACAAGACACAACCGTCCAGTAAAAAGTCTAATCGGCCATGTTGAATAAAAACTGATGTTTTGATCACGTGACCTCACTAATCAATATGACTTATGTCCGATTACCGCCATCTCTGTACTAGGTTCATAAGCTTATTCTATAAGTACCTGCCATAGCACAGGCCAATTTTAAATGTTTATAGTAGGTCCAACTCCCAAATCTAAATGAAAAAAATTACAGAAATAAAATGCTGTATTTATAAAAGCTAAAAAATAGATATTAATAGTAATTCATAAAAAAATTATCATAGTCTACCCCATCTTTGATCATGTTTAAATAATATAATAATAAACTCGAGTAAAAGAGTAGGTACCTATAAGTATATTGTTGCTTGTGATTATTATTAAAACATCTATGTTATTTTCTAAAGTAGAAAAATTCAGACCAGTTTGGAAAAGCGGGTATTTTAATAAAGTATACTAAATATTCCAAAATATTCAAATAGTTTTCTATAAGCGGCTGCCTCGATAATATAATTAGTATAGCGCCATCTGTTGCACATAAATAGAACTTAAACGTAAAGACTATAATTATTTATTAGTTAAGCTCCGTGGTTGTACTGCATACAAAAAACAAAGAAATGTCCTTGCTTTGCAATTTACTTTATTATGTAGATAATGTAAAGTAGCTACTGAAAGCAAGTTATAAATTTTGGAGAACATGCCTGCCATATTATACAAAAAAAAAATTTGGAGTACTGAAATATGGTTGATTATAACTTATATAAATTTAGGAGGCGCTTCATCGCCAACAATAACACTTGGCAATGAGACTCTTTAACTTGACAGCATTATTTATACAGTCTGCAGAGAAGATTTTGTTTTCCATGTAGTTGACGTAGTTTCCCTTCGCTTATCGAAGAGAGTGAGTCGTGTTTTGCGTTTTAAACGCAGAGTTTCTGACGTTTGTGTAGTTTTAAAGTGAATAATGTGATTGTGTAGTTCGTTATGGCCTATAAATACCGTGAAGATTTAGTTGGCAAACGATTTTTGTCTGTGAGTGGTGTAACGAAAATTAACGTGAATAAAGTTTCTGAATGGGGATGGAAAGCTGGTGTTATCAGGGCAGCATCACTCAAAGATAACAAGAATAAGGAGCTACAGGTACAATTGGTATTTCTATGTAAATATTTTATAAAATAATGAACGGTTTAATTCATAATATACTAAATCGTAACATCTTTATATTAATTTACCTACGATGTTCGCTCATTACCTGTGCCAAAATAAATATATACCCTACCTACGTACTCGGATATATTGAAAACCCAACCTGAAATAACTTGGTGAATAAATAGGTATATACATACATATAATTTATTAATGAAGTTATTGGATTAGATTTCATAGATATAATTTGACTAGGTAGGTTCTCTTTGGGGCCACTGTCTGCACGTCTGTTTCAAAATCTTAGAACTTTGAACCTTTCGACTTTAGCAAGTGTCTTAATATGAATATTTTTAAAAAATTGCAGGTTCTGTTTTTAAAAGTTTGTATTTTTTTAAATATTTTTCTATTTTTGTTTCGTAAAAATACGCCATCGAGCTTTTGACATCGCTTAAATAATTGGCGTATAATGAATTACAATAATATTTGAAATTTACCTATCTTCTACCAACTAAGTTAAACCGTATTGTTAAGGTAGTTACACAATTTATGAAGAGTTGCGTGAACAGTTTGTGGCACCAACAATCAGATGAATTTGAAATTAGTAGTTTTAAACCTTCACCTGCTGGGTGCGTAAATGAAGGTAGACGTGTATTGTGATTTTTGCAGTTATGCTGCTGTCTTAATATTTATATTAAAAATACTAGAAAATAAGCGCTTGAACCGAAAGTTAACAAGAACTTGAAAGATTTGTCTGTTCGAAGAACACGCATCCAAATAGCTAAGAGTGAAGCCAATAGAGTATCCAAATAACAGATAAATTTGTTACAATTGGACTACCTAGGTACCACCTTTTGTTCAGACTGACCTCTGTAGGTATTTTAAAAATAATGAAAAATTTCTCATTTAAAAGCTATTTCATTTAAATGAGAACCGTGGTCCATCGATAGATTGGTAGGTACCTATATTATTTACAAATGCACATGGCATATGGTTCAATGACCTCACTCTCACTGCGTTCGATGCACCGAACACCGACTGTCGGCACCCGCCACCATCGGCCCGCCCGCCACCGTCCGTAGTTCCTTACGTATCTTTTAATGTTTTCGATCTTTAGCAGAACGAAAGCAACCAAGAGTTCCTTCGGTTGGCGGCACAAAAAGCAGCTGCATTGAGAATATTTTCACGGGTAGGTCAAAAATTTGGGCCTCATCCTAGGTGAAAGCAGCTCTGTACGTTTCTCGAAATTCAAAAATAATTGCTTTCTACATAAAATCTCAGTGGACCAACGCATGAAACTAGTAAACAGTTAAATAGGTAATGGTAATAATTAATATGAGTTCTTGTCATATATCTATCGTTGTATAATGAAACTTATATAATATCCTAATTTAACTTGTTCAGTTGCTTATTATTATAAGACGGCACGATAAATTAAAATGGTCTTTAATACCTACTTCTTAACCGACTTTAAATCGAAAAAGAGGAGGTTCTATGTTTAACAGATATGTATTTTTCATGACATATTTAACAATTTCCACGCTAATCTTGAACCGATTCAATTCTTTTTCAACGAAAGAACACAGAAACAACAATAGTTAATGAAAGTGTTATTCGATAAAGAAACAATGAGACCTCATTATTGGCAGAACTTTGATCTTCTTGTGAACCTTTGTCGATTGTTACTGGACAATTAATAAAATTAACTTTTTTTCATCGATAATACCTATCTAAATTTCTCACATACCTTACAATTATACATACGTTTTCCATCTTTCTTTTCTCAAAAATGAGTAGGTAGGTACATTTCGTAAAATAAGTAGGTACTGCAATGCTACATTTGCGTGCGCCTTGTTATCATATATATTTATCATTCTGTTTTAGTGTAATATTGTTAGAAGAACTGTAAAGATAACATTTACAAGTTGTGTACATACGTTCGTCGTCGGGATTTGTGTTAACATTCAGTGATGGGCAATTGGCTACTGACTAACACACCTACCATAAAATATTCAAAATCGAAAGATACGACAAAAGCGCTTCGATGCGATATGTTCGTCGTGCATTTCTGGCCGTTTATAAATAACATAATCTTGTACCATTGCGTTCTGCTCTCCCACCGAGTGAAGAACGCCAGACCAACTTTAACACTGTGAACTATTATAACGCACAGGTTATTTATTTGCCTACGCTGTTTGAAAACTTGTTTCACTTGAATTGCGAGTGTGCCTACTCGATGTTGGATTCGCTATTTTAGTGATGGCCAAAGAAAATCATTTGTGGACAATAATATTCTGACTGCAGCTATTTTTAACGTTCCAAAATCTGAACACGATACTTTTGAATATGCTGTATAGTTTGTGAGAAAGAAAATATAGTCACATTACACCTATAATTACGTCCAGTATCATTGTTACGATACATACGATTTAATGTGCGTAAGTAGGTATAAGTAATACTTTCAGTGCGTAAGTTTTTTGTACTTGATATTACATTAATTAGATAACCTTAAGACATTTTTTATAATCTGCAAAATGACAATCAAAATATATTCTGCGTCTTCGGTTAGGTAAATCATGACTGATTATATTTATGTAGGTACACTGAAACTTTTTGGTAGCATATTTTCATTCTTTAATGCTAAGGTTATAAAAAATATCATGTTATGATAATATTATGATTATACCTATAAAACGATTACAACATGATGATTATGGTAATAATGTTCAATACAATATATATATAATGTATAGAGGTAATGTATTTTTTTATAGAAATAACCCAAAGAACAACCATGAAACAATTAACATGTCTAGCTGACGACAGAATAATCTGCACAGGCATTAAAAGACGAAATGTCCTCATTAAATTCAGTTCATGGAAAGATAATTGAAACTCAACGAATTGTATTCGGTACCTATCTATTGTGTTTCTAACTTTAGTACATAACAGAGAAAATTACACAACACACCTCTCTCTCTCTTGCTCTTACTAATCAAAATTAGACAGGTCTAAGAGCTTAATCAGTGAGTTTTTAATAATTATACTAATTATTACGAAGACTAAATTAATAAGTCTGGGTATTGACTGATGGATGAGATTGGTTATGACTCAATTTTTAATAGATAAAAGTAAGGAGCTTGCGAAATCAGATGAAAAGAGAATAAGATTATTGAAGAGGAGAGCGTTGCGTTGTAGAATGGAAAGCGTACAGCTAAATCACATCAATGTCACAGAGCATAAATAACGAGAACTGAAATATCTTCTAAGATTGGATGAGTTTCGCAGTTACGTGGAAGTAATGCAATGAGTATGCAATTCGAAGCTGTCATTGCATCTATTTTTACAAGAAAATAAATACAAGTAAGTACTACTTAAAGAAATGTAACGCTCATCCATTGGTAACTAGATGATGTCTATCTAAGTCTAGTTCTTTTAAAGTTCTTCGGTAATATATCTTTCTGTTATGAGTTGGGTAGGACATACTATTTATCACTTTTCATCTTATATAGGTAATGATAATATTAAAACGTGTAACATTGGGGCAATTGTGTATAAAGTAGCAATTTTCTTGTTTCATATAAGTTAAAGCCCAAAGGTCGGGTTCTAATTAATGCCTGCTGTCGAAGGAGACACCTCGACCCCAGCCCGGCTCGCAAAAAATTCGATAGAGCTGCTGCTAGCCGCTACGAAGGATTAAGGGTCGGGAAATTTATATAAAATGGCATGTGTTACGCTGTCCCTCTAATTATAGGCTAACACACCGTTATAAGACTGAAAATAAATGATAAAGGTCACACACAAAAAATATATATACTGGTACCTAACTAATACTTAAAAAATATTTTTAATAAATAAATGGAATATAAGTTGCCTGTAGGTACTATAGAGACGTTATTCTTTATCTCTTTTTAATGGCATGAAACGTAGACGTTATTTAAATGTTTAATTTTATATTATTAAGTAAATCCATGGAATTTATATAACGTCAATAGAAAATTCACATACTATCTGCAGCGCTATGCTGTTATCAACTTTATTATCTTTTATTTTGAAAGAGGTTTTATTACAATAATTCGGTGTCAGCGCTGTGTTAAATGCCCGAGTCGGAACTTGAAGCTGTAACCTTTCTTTAACCGGGCGATTGTTCTACCTCTTGATATATCTTTCTTTTACCCGTTGGAGAAATGCTTTAAGCTCAGTCTCTGCCGTCTGGCGAGCGAAATGGTGGTGACTTTCCTCCATCACCGGAGGCCTGGTTCCTTCGATAAAACTGTAAAATCAAAATTGGTACAGAATATAATAATAACGGCAGTAGGCTGAAACCAATGGCACATAAAAAAACATAGATATAAATAAAGTAGCTATTGAAGATTAACATCAATTGTTAAAGTATTTTAATCGTTATAATAATTGATTTCCTCTTCCTTGTCACTGTTTGTTATCGTAATAACTAATTCAAAAGTATTTTCAAGATCTCGTGTGATTCCGATATGAATACTAGGAGTTGTATACTAGTGTACGATATACTAATGTTGTAAGAGATAGGTGACCGAGATAGGTTTCAAAAGAAGTCCATGTTCCAGATAGGGTTGCCAGATGGGAAGAGTAAATCCCATCAAGACCGTAACACGTACGAAAAAGCACAAGTCTGACAACGCTATACGTCTGCCGTAAAAAGTTATGAAATCAACGTAAACTAAGTCGATTAATTCAGTACTTATCTTTCTGTGAGAGCAGCTATCCAAGCTTGTCATAGGCTTAGGAATACTTAGCAAACGCAAACGCATACCCATTAATCACCGAAGTACTTTAAAACCAATAAAGAACAGAGCCAATAACTTTTGATAGATTTTTTACGTAACATTATTTTACCATACCTATATGCGTTTGCCAAGTAGTAGTTGCTCGAGATAATAATTTTGGTCCCCCATGCCGTGACCGATCCTTGCGAAAGTTGCTTAACAACAACATATAAGTATTATTTATCATTTTTT